CACAAAAAAATGATGCCGTTATTATCACGCGATATAATATAATATGTATACCTCCTGACCGGGCAAACATAGTAAAGAAGAATCGATGCGACGGACAATAAAGTAACCGACGTTAAACGGAGATTCGTGTCGCTGTTTGCGCCGACGGTCAGGGGAAATCGATCCGGACCCCTGTTTGCCCGTTAACGCCGAACGTAACATTAAATGCAGATGCAAAGTTCACAGTGGCGTTTACTGACAATGTAGATATATCGATGACGGCCATGCCGCCCGTAAATCACACAGCTATTACGGCAGTCCATGTTCGATCGCTGGGCGTGTAATATGCGGGGAGATAGTAACCGCGTGAATGGCTTTATATTAACCCGGGCAACAATGACGTGAGGTCGAGGATTCCCTTTTTGCGGTGAGAACTTCCAACGATGCGTGACACAATTTCTTGACGTCCAAAATTCGATATTATTACACGCTCGCGGCATTTGACCTAACATTCTTGCCACGGCACATTGCCGCAAATTAAATGATATTGTCCAATGGAGATGCACAGGACACTCGCACAAAGTTAACGACGACTGTTTCTATTTCCGTTTCAGATTTTCATATTAGCTCAATAGATTTTCACGCGAAATCTACAAGTATAACATGACGTATTATCGACTGTCGCCGTCGGTTCATTACCGCTACTTCATATACAGGGTGTCCGAAAAATCGCCTACTCCACTTTGGGAGGTGATTCAGGACCCAAAAACGAACAAAAAAGTTCATACAAACATAGGTCCGGAAATGAGCCATTTCCGAGTTATAGCCACTTTTATGTTCAAAAATCGAAAATTAGAATCCGCTTGGCATCCCTCTTTCTTAATTATTTCTTAAATTAAAAATTTTTATTTTTAAATATTTTTAATTTTTTTAATTTTATTTTTTTATTTTTTTTTTAATTTTTCAATATTTGTAAATACGATTACATTATTTTTAAAAGAAATCAGTTGTTTTCACAGCTATTTGAAATCAGTTGTTTTCACGGCTATTCAAAATCAATTGTTTTCACGGCTACTTGAAATCAGTAAGTAAACGGCTTTTCAATAAGTTTCAAATTATTATTTAACAACACCTTACTTTTAGGTTGTATCTAATCTTTCCGTATTCATCAATGGATCGTTTAAGTTTTAATGAATTAGGTGATATTTAAAAATAAAAATTTTTAATTTAAGAAATAATTAAGAAAAAGGGATGTCAAGCGGATTCTAAATTACGATTTTTGAACATAGAAGTGGCTATAACTCGGAAACGGCTCATTTCCGGACCTATGTTTGTATGAACTTTTTTGCTTGTTTTTGGGTCCCGAATCACCTCCCGAAGTGGAGTAGGCGATTTTTCGGACACCCTGTATATATAGGAGTCGCGCAGACTGGAAATCGCAGCGTATGGAATACGTAATGAACGATTGTAAAGCTCCTTGAATCAGCATGAATCATGGAAATAAGCAGAATACTGCCAGATATTCATGTGGACAGTTATCCTTCCGCCGTTCCTTTAGCCGCGCTTATTCCTTCAGTCTCTCAGAATAATCTAGAATCGTTCTCAGATCTTATTAATTTTTTAACATGAAACTTACGATTCCTATTTTGACAGTTCAAAAATCTTCAAGATTTCTGTAACGAAAAATCTTTCAAAGAAGAGAACTGTATCAAATTTTATAAAGGTTCCGTTTTCAAAATGTTATTCGTGGTAACACTAAAAAGCATATCGTTCACCAGAGCACTTAAAATTCTAGATACACGACGCGTCGTGTCGCGCGATTCCAAGAGAGTGTCACGAGAACTCACAGCGCAAAAGTTCAAACGTCAACGAGGCGCAGGAAAGAAGCCGGTTGACGAAAAATCCGTCGCTGTTCAAGAACGAGAATCAGAACAAACGTGTCCATGCATATGTAGATGCGACTGCATCTGCAATGCAGATCTGCGCGGCATCGGCAAGTCGACCTTCGCGAAACCGAGTGATCCGAGACTTCGCAATTCCGTATTCGAACCAATTCAAAAAATTACAAAATAGACTAAAATTAAGAGCAGAAAACAAGAGATAAATAGATAGACAGACAGAAAAAGAGAAAGAGAGAAAAGGAAGAAGAAAGAAAGAGAATCAAATTATAATGGATAAAACAAAGATATTAATCTTCTATAGAGTTCTTCGAATCATAAAATAATACAATTGCTTAATTGCTTCGTTTATATTGTTTATAACGTTATCATATCACGTAGCGTTTCTATCTCATTGACAGTTTCCTAAAAAAGTAAATGCTTCTACAGTCCATGATTTTTATTGACAAATAAAAAAACTATAAATTAATAAAATATTACTTTTTATATATTCTTTACATTAAATATATCTAAAAGATCGCGACTAAGTTTTTAATAAATAGCAGAACAATAAGTAATATTAACCAAATGAATATTCTCGAAACACAAAAATGCCCCTACATGATAAATAATGTAAAATATACAATCTAATACAGTGACAAACACACTATAGCGCGGCACGGCACTAACACGAGAGTACTGACGTTTGTTTGCTGAACGAGGGCAATGGAGGGTTAATGTTTAGATAGCGCAAATGACAATATCTGGAAATCTACCCATCTTTCTGCAACATCTGGTTAATTTCTTAGTTCTCAAGAAATTGCGCCCTGAAAAAGTTTTGCTCGACGGTACAATTTTGCAAGTTAGAGTGAATTATATCGTTCGATTTATAACTGCAACGTAAATCCTTTTTACTCGCAACATGGTACATTTTTGCAAAATCGAGCGTACAGGCAAGATTTAAGGCAGCGCGCAGCTGACTTCTTCCTTCAGCTGAGCGTGACTCTATCCCTCTTCTGCAGATCGATCCGAACGAGTCGTCGATGTCTCCTTAAATCGTTGCAAGTGTGCCGGGCGTGAGCAAAGTAGACGCATAAGCGTACACGTGCGGGAATAAATCGTCCATTCGCGCGGGAGAGATTTAAAAGATCTCGCCTTTCGAAATAAATCTTGCACGCGCGCACACACACACACACACACACACACACACACACACACACGCCCGCGAGTCTTGTAAAAATATCGCGCGCCAGTGGATGATATTCTGCATGAGAGGATACAAGAGCTAGACGCGGCGTCTCACGGGAAGATATTCGAGGCGATGATTTTGCCATTTTCTTCTCTTTATTTTTCGAAACGAATTCGGCCAGAATTCTTTTTACGGATCGATCGATGCGCCGCCGAAATGTCGACGCTAAAAATGGTAATCGTGTCACAGGAGGGAAACGAGTGTGCGAGAATGACTGTCCTTATTTCATCGTGATACTATAAGAGAGACTTTTAAGGAGCTCGGAAAAAGATGCCTCTTCTTTTCGATATTTATAAAAAAGAATTAAATTATTTAAATAATAATTAACGACATCTAACGTGACAGTATTAATTTAACTATGAAAACCTAATTTTCAAAAATCTACTTAACTTATTTTAAATCAAGTATTGTTTATAAAAAAATTTTTTATATAGGTACTATAACATTTTAATATTACTAACAAATTGTTATATTAATTTTCAATCAAGAATGCGTACTTTAATTAACCTCTTACTTTTTGGAAACTATAAGCTTGAGAAAATAATATAATAATAAAGGTAAAGAAAATAACAAAAGTTTTAACGTCTTCATCCGAAAGGAATAACTTGTTTTCCTTTCTTGATGACATCAGTTTGTGAAATGCTCGGTTAAATGGTCGTAAACTGTGCCACGGGGACGAAGTTACAAGCTACACGTGGGTGAGAATAAATCGTCCGACTTCTGGAAACGACGACGCGAAACGAGCTAACGTGTCATCGACTGCAACCCGACTAGGGACCACCACTTCCTCCCTATAATGGAAGAAATATCTTTCGAAACGTCGATATTGGGAGGATACGAAAATGGCGACGGGAGAGTTCCTCACCTTTTATACGAGAATGTCGACCGCGAAAATACGTTCCGCGATCGCAGCCACGTCATTCTCGATATTGTTGCATGAAAATCAACTCGCAGTGAGTTGCAAATTTCTACGATTTAAGATTGTTCTATTTTATCTCTCCGTTTTACGAAAAGATTTAGAATATAAATCTCGCTACTTGGTACACGTCATCACGCATTGCAGGCAACAAAATTTAAATAAAATTTATATTTTGTTGCCTAAATAGATATTTCTTAACATTATTTCTTTCTCTCCGCGCGATATATTGTCGTGCGTCGGCATTATTTCAAAGCGTCTTGTATTCTAGAAAGCAATTTTTATTAATAATATATTCCGCAATTTTTTCTTATTACAGTAGCAGTCACGCGACATAATAAAACAACGGGAGAAAAGCTCGGTTGCTCTGCCTCGCTCGCGACTTTGTTACGAGAACGGCCTTGAGCTAGCGAAGCGAGTTTTCTAGTCCGAAGACAGCATCCAGAAGTATCGATATCCATTGTACCAGAATAAAATGTACACTCGACCGCGCGAATAGTGACGAGGCTATTTGTAGATGCGCATCGTACACGTGAAAAAGAGGCACACATTTCAAGAGACATCCTACATAAAATTGTAATGGATACATATCAATCTAAGATGTAATAATTAAACGCGAAAGACATGTTAAATTAATACAGGATTGTGTGATACTGACTTCATATATGATAGATTTCTTCTGCCACAAATTTTTTCTTCAGAATTAACAAATAGTTAATTTTACCGATTTTGCGTGAACTATAGAATCAACTTTTCTTCTACATTTTACACGATTTTTCAAATTTTTCCATTTTACCATTCGATATCTTAATAACCAAAAGTTTCGAATAAAAATTACGTTAAAGTTTATTTCAAAATTGAAAGATGATTGATGCTCTATCATTTATTTTTAACTCTGCTTTTCAAGTTGCAAAAAATTGTCCTGTTATTAAATTTTATACAAGTAATGTAATATATTTTTGAAGTATCTTGCACTCACCCTTTGCGCCTTCCGCTTATCAGCACGTTGGTTTTGATGATATATTCTGCTGAAGTTGCTGACGATTACAGGTACCGGTAAAGCGATCACTAGGACGCCGCTCAAGGAGCATACACCCCCGACGACTTTCCCCGCAATCGTTTTCGGAACCATGTCACCGTAGCTGAAACAAGCAGAAAAATATTTGTTAAAGCAACAATTCCATGACCGTACAAGTACCGTACAAGTGCTAATTGACCTTCCTCAATCTTTTTCTAATTGCATATGTGTGCAGTAAAGCGTGTTTACATTGATATGCTGTCCAAATTTTACAAGATTCTTAAGAAAATGAGTTTACGGACGTACTACCTTAAAATACAATATTTTAATAATAAAATCACATGACTCAATACGAGATGTCATTCCATAAATCTCGTAAAGTAAAAATTACTGCTAAACACAAAAAAATACCAAATTTTTATAATTTATCCTCTTCACAATGTATCTTCCTTTGTAATTATCAAAACATTTAGAAAATTAGACATATTTAACAAACATGGAATAATCAAATATCTCGAGAGTAACAGCCATGTAATAATTTATAAATTCTCCCCAAATTCCAAAATTTAAGGATCATGATAAATTCTCGAACATAAACAGTTCTTTATACATTCTAAACTTTAGTACAACTATATTATGGACTACAAAATTTAGAGAAAAATAAAAAAAAAAATTCGTAAAATTTAAAAACTAAATAAACAATTTCAAGATGCAACAATGTTATGGTTTCCAATTTGAACATGCATATTAGAAGTCAAGGATTCCGATAGTCACCATTTCTGTTGTATGCTTAAACCCCAAGATTCATGAATCCCAGGATTTGCATATTCTACAATCCAATGTATTTCACAGTTCAAAGATTTCCAAACTCGTCGGATCACATTCATTTCGAGATACCGCATAATAATTCCAGGCGAATGTCGCGCCTCGCGCGACGAACATTCATTCGCGAAACATTATTATGAGCATTGTTGGCGACACAAAACAGTATAGCAGCTTAGACAAACGATCCGGCCAAATGTTCAGAAGACACGATGGAATTATGCATTCCCCCGACATCGTCGCCCGCGGGAGCACACATCGTGGCGAGGGAAATGGGAGAGCGTGGATAATTCACCGAGTACTTGAAGAATTCAGCCGTAAAGGATACGCTCGTCCTCGTTTCCCAGTCGCGCGAATGTCCGTCCGTAAAACTTTTTCTTGGCTACACGTGGCTTGCTACGTGGTCGATCATTTCCCGCAAGGTTTCCCAGTCTAGCTTCTTTACATATTTACTGCATATCGAGTGGCGCAAATACGCGGCCGTGTAAAATGCGCGGATATTTGTTCAATTTTCTTTCGTGGACGACGCGCTTGAACATATTTGCGTTCCGTTAAAATTGACGATAAGGTGATAAGAATTGTTTTTTAGAATCTACATTGCTTCTTTTTATCAGCTAATTTTACTATTGAGATAATTGAATAATGAAAATTTATATCATAATTCGAAATATTTGTCGAAATCGAATAGAAATAAAAGATGATATTCGCAAAAGAATTATTATTCACCCAGTGTGAATTGTAAATTTAAATCATATTTGCCATTCGCATAGTGACGTATATATTTTTTGAATAAAAGTAAAAATATTTACGAGGTCTACGTTATTTTCGGTCACTTTGATGGTATTCGTCTAAAAAGAATAAATGATTCAAGATATTCCTTACGAATTTGCTCCCCACTGACGAGCCCTCTTTGTGCCTCAATAACTTTTCATATGCGAAATATTTTCAACCGACATTTCCAAATATTACCTCATCTTTTTATGCCGACTACTATATATTCCGCAATTCGTCGCGTACGTCAGCATTTGCCGCTGGTTTCATCCACGACGTATATCTTCCGTTCAAGCAGAACGAAACCTGCAGGTGCGACAGCCTACAGTTAGTGACGTCTGAGTTCAAGCAAGGACGCGATAATGGAAAGAATTGAGCGAGACAATGGTATCTTTAAAGGAAACCATTGCGATTGACAGGAAAATATTTCGTGCAGTTATTTATTTATTGTAAAAATACCAGGATACAATCAAATCCTACAGAGGACCGCTGTTTAGAATATACAGAAAATGCACCCAATTAGCATTTCCATCAACTGCGACTCAGATCGCTATTAATTGTAATTAGTAACAATTTTATTGCAATTATGTACCCCGTGACAACGTTTAATTCGAATTTGACTTTGACTTTGTTTCTATTGCGTGTCGTATTGTTCACCGGCGATGACTATATTTTTCAATGTTTCTAATGTAAACTCCAACAGTTATTATTTTTATTTTTATACTTTTATTATTATGTAACTTTGAATGTAATGCTACCTTATACCCTGAGGAAGACCAAGTAAGATCGAAACGTTGGCTTGATAATTAAAATTTAAATTTTATATATAGTTTTTTATCAACATCCTAATATTGCTCGGGATATCGGCCGTAATATTACTTAGCTTTATTGTAAAAGTTTATACTTTTACATTATCGGATATAAACTCAAATTTTTTAATTGTAATGCGAGAAACCGTAACTAAAGAAATTACTACAGAAATGCAGATATAGAAAAATACATATATTGAAAATATAATAATTTTCATAATAATTATTAAAAAAAAAATTAGAATTCTAGAATATAAGAAATTGAACTTCTAAACTTCATAAGAGAAATAAAATTTCTGATTACTCTAATTTAACTATAGAATTGTTGATTTAAGGATTGAGAATAGGAAAGGGGTAGAGAGTATCAAGAATTTTATACCATAAAACTGTCCTTGCAAAGCATTCTTACAATTCAAGCATTCTTGAGTTTTAGCACTCTAAAGCTTGAATTGTCTATAAATTTACAAAATATGTCAAAACCAAAAATTAATCAGGGATTTTATAGATGCAACAAATAATTGTATGAAAAGTTATATCATGTATAAAATTCACTCTTAAAGGTTTCACATGATTATATTTAGAATACACTATATGACATTTTTCAAATATTAAAAAATTCCGGAAGAAAAGAGGATGCCGGTACACTTAAAGCTCGCCACGACAATTAGTACAAAAAGAGTGACGCATTATTACTGGGGAAACCAGAAACTACGTTATACTGTGCACAATGGCGATCGTTTATTCTGCCGACATGCCTCACTCGAAAGATCAAAAGAAGGCGCGCGCGGAAAAGAGAGAGCGCCGATGGAGCCGAGGGGATAAAATGAAGTGTAATGGATCGCACTCGACAGCTATAGATCGTTCCTTTTTCCAGCGAATTTCTCGGGCCGCACGCAATTTCGGCTCGTGACGAAGGGAGCAAGAGTAAAAGGAAGTTCTATTCTGCAAACGACGTGGAATCTGAGGAAAAAAATGTTTTTTTTAGAAATGATCGATTGCTCAATATCCTGCGCGATATATCGCAAAATTTATCATTTATTAAATCTTAAATTATTGAGAAAAAAATATGTATGCTTTAAACTTAAAACATACTCTATCTATAATAATAAAAAAAATATTTACTAATTCAGTTAAAGAATACATTGTTCCCGGGCTAGACGATTCTAGATAATTAAAATATCTACGTTGAAAAATTTAACAATTTATATTACGCATATGCGATGTATTACAATTGATTAAACTTACGTTATACAAAATATCAAATTATTAAAACCATAAGATTTTATATCACAAAAATAAAGGATCACAGAATAAGCTTTATTACAAAAATTAAATTCGATACTTCGTCAAATTTATTGACTAATGTTATATATGATTAAACATTTCATAAAGTATTTATAGTTAAATATAATTTTACGGAAACATACGATTTATTATAAACTCTCTTTATATATAAAAATAAAAATAAATACTTGAACTGTTGGAATTATCATATTCCATCGTGTCCAACGAATATATGAGCTTTGTCCTTCTCTTGCAATTATAAATGTAGATATAATACATAAAAATGTAATATTTACTTATTCATCAAGCATTTATTCGATTTTGCGTATATCTAACAATAAAAGCAAGTAAAAGATTCTTTTTTTACTATTTTTATTCACTGGACATAACGCAAATTTTTATAAATGTATAGGTAGGACTTGGTTAGAGGGAGCGTGTGTGAATGGTAGCGGTGAAAGTGCGTTGTGTGATTTTAGCTTTGTTTCTGGGTTTAAAGATTAGTATGGGGCAAGTAGGAATATTGGAAAGATAGGGTGTAAGCAGGGGATGCGATGATAATGAAGGGAGATAGTTGGACGCAAGTAGAAAAAAGTTATATAAAAGTATTTAGAGACCGTGGTAGGATGAGGTTATGGTGACGAGTCGGTTGGGCGGTATAGGCGGGAAAGGTATGTAGGTAAAGTAGGGAAGGTTTCGATCGATTGTAAAGATGATTGTATGGTAAATGATTAGCTAAGGAGCCTTCGGTCGTGAATTAAGTATAGGTTAAGTAGATAGTTAAAAAGATGACAGGTTGAACTCTGAACTCAGAACACATGTGAATCTTAGTTTGGGACAGGAAATATTGGACAAGAATAAGAAAAGGAAAAGAGGTAAAGGATAGAAAACAGAGGAGAGGACAAGAGGCAGGTGAAAGAAGTGCTGTTATAGAAGAGGCTATACGAAACAAGGGAGGATTAAATGTGAAGAGGATTATCGAAGAAGGAAGAAAATCTCTCGAGTTCCGTGTCAATGGAGTTGGAAAGAAGAAAGGTGAAATAAAGCTAGAACACAAGGATGGGCGGGCCTAGAGGCGTTCCAGGAAATGGAAAGTAAAAGAAGATAAGCATAGCTGAGGAAAGGTTAAGCCTACGATAAAGAAGAGATGTCATGAAAAGAAGAAAGGTATAGGAAAGCGTATTCCTGGCGTATTCCTGGAACAAGGACTGGCGAAACCTGTCTGCGTTGTAGGAAAGGAAAGGTAAAAGAAGGTGGACACGCAAGGCTTGTTTAAAGGATGCAGCAGTTTTCTGGAAATATTAGAATCTCTGAATGGCACGGAGGCGAATCCAGGTATATTAATTATGCAACGGTAGATAGGAGGCATGAGAAGATAACTAGAGAACGAACGTGCGAGGAGGAAATATATGTTGCTTCGGTGAGAACGAGAGAAGAAGAG